CTAATCCAATGTCTTTGTTTGAGTTACATTTTGATGCAAAGTTTGGTCCAATGCCCAAATCCAGAAGTGAGGAACTGGGGACACAAACCAAACAATGTCTCAATTAGATAAGTTTCACCAGAGCTCGACACAAACAATGAAAGTTTTAGACAGCACGACGCAAACAGCTCTAAAACTGTAGACGAGAGTCACCAACCAAACGTTGTTCACATTTCAGAACTTACGCGACTTCAGTTTGCTTGGAAGCCCCAACAAACCTTGTGAGTTGTGAGTATTTTGGCAATAAGTTACAAGTGAAACTTGTGGTTACCTGTTTAGGGAACCTTATGATCTGGAAATGGAGCGTGACGTCGTGCAGGTCCTCACTGAAACAAGTGACCTGCACCCCACCTTCAGAGGACAGATCACCTGAAGAACCGATTTGGCTGGCCGTCGGGGCCTGCGAAGCCACCGCCAAATCTGACAAGCTTGTTGTGAGCTCCTCTGAAGACATGATGCCGGGGCGGATCTAGATGCACACAGAACAATTCATGAGGTAAATAAATTCGCGATGAAGGCCCCGCTTGGCTTCCAGGTAAACTTATGTGCTTGTGTTCAGTTTACACTGGCATTTGACTAGGCACTAATGAAACGACCCAATACAAGCAGATGCTTTGGTGACTCAAATTAGAGGATCTGCGCGCTTGTAATTTAGTTCAAAAGAAAGCATCAAGCCATAAAGTCCACCAAATTTCTAAGATACCAACAATTGCATATACAGTTCATCACCAAGAAATCAACTAGAAAGGCTGGAGCACGAAACCTGCAGCCGCTGACGCAGATGACAGACAGGCGGTAGCAGTAACGAAACAGTGGACGATGCGGAGACAGTGGCCTCGTCGCGAAAAGGTGGTGGTCCTCGGGCTTTCTTGCCGGCGGCGGCTAGCAGGAAGTCCTCAGGATGAGGGGTGGCGGCGGAGCGGGCAGGCTCTGGCGACGGAGGTGTATGGGGGGTGGAAGCGGCCGGCGGGAACGAGGTACCGCGCCGGTGCCAGCAGCTGGCCGGCGGCGCTGGGGACAACCCTAATCGCCAGAAGGAAGAGGGGAAAGGCTCGCGTCCGAAGCCTGTCTCGGTGCTAGGCGGCGGTCGAGCGGCGCCAGCCTCCCGGTCGGTCGCATCCCGTGAGCCGATTGCGTTGTTTCCCAGCCGTCGGATCAGTCCCCCACATCTTTTTTTTTGCGAAAAAAATTAAACCCATTAAGCTACGCACGAAGGGGGCCAACCAGCTACGCCACATGGCACAAGCTGGTTGGCCGCGGTGAAAAAGCTTTTAGAATATATTTTTTAGATGGAGGTGAGGAACTTTTTTAAAATGTTTTTTTCTTTTTACATGAAGGTGATGATCGCACATATTTTTTTAAATGGACAGATACACAAAGTGGCGCTCTGGTAGGCCGCATTTGTGATTTTTTTTTTACTTCTTTTTCTAGATGGAGGTGATGATTTTATAAATATTTTTCTAGATGAAGGTGATGACTACACGTATATTTTAAATGAAAATATGTGCACAACTTCCTTTCAAATGGCGTCACCGGATGGCGCCCCAACTATTAGTTCACACACAAAGCATGTAGGGTGAGAGCAAACAGTGGGCGCAACACTGCCCTTGAAGCACGCCGGCTTGCCGCTCTCGTAGCACCCATCCTCGCCGGTTTCAGCATAACCTCATGGTAGCATTTCAGCTGTCGCCCTTGAACGTGGCCGCCAATGATTGGAGCACAATCATGGACGGTTTGCATCTCCTGCCCCATATAGCTTGTGTCACTTTACATGTGGCAGTCCCGAGTTCCGACACAACTTTAGCTCAGTTTCAGCGTCGCCGTCGAAAGGGTGCAACTTTGGCCGTCAATTGTTGCAACCTTTTGCCTTTGCCGAGGGTGATGGTCGATTCCAGCATGCAGTGTCGTCGTCGCCAACGCCGACCGGTTGCAACAAATGGTGTCCACCATCTCAACAACGGCGAGTGCAGGTTGTAGCACAACGGCATTCGGACACGTCTTCTCTAGCCCCGATAGGCGTTGGGCACAACTTCAACCAGCGTTGGTTGATACGTCTCCAACCTATATATAATTTTTTATTGTTTTATGTAATTATATTATCAGTTTTGTATGCTTTATATGCGGAAAAATGTCAAGCATGCTTGCGACACTAATACAAATATCCATAAAAAATCTAAATTTTTAAAAAATATTTTACCACTTTATTTGAGGTACTGTTCATCCGGGAAACTAACACTTGGTACTAAGTTAATGGGTTAGTCAAAACATTGTCTGAGCTTTATATGTTATATATTGTTTTTATAGACTAACCTATTAACTTAGTGCCAAGTGTTAGTTTCTGTTTTTTTTTGCATGTTTTTTGTTTCGTAAAAGAAAAAATCATACCTACCGCAGTTCAAACACAATGAAACTTTACAACGACTTTTTTTAAAACATAAGAGACATTGTAGGCTTCAGGGAAGGACGAGAAGACCCATGTGGGCCCCACAAGTTAGTTCGACGCACCCCCTGACATGCGGGCTCCGCGTAGCTTCGCTTGCCCTAATTTTTGGCCTATAAATTCTCATATATTTCGAAACCCTCGAAGTGAGATCCGAAATAATTCTTCCGCCACTCCAAGCCTTTGTTCCGAAGCGGTTCCATATGCGGCGCTGTTTCGATGCTCTACCGAAGGGGGGAACCATTGGGGAGGCAATCTTCTGTTGGGGAACGCAGTATTTCAAAATTTTCCTACGATCACACAAGATCTATCTAGAAGATGCATAGCAACGAGAGGAGGGAGTGTGTCTACGTACACTCGTAGACCGAAAACAGAAGCGTTTAGTAACGCGGTTGACGTAGTCGAACGTCTTCGCGATCGAACCGATCAAGTACCGAACGCACGACACCTCCGTGACCTGCACACGTTCAGCTCGGTGACGTCCCTCGTACTCTTGATCCAGCTGAGGCCGATGGTGAGTTCCTTCAGCACGACGGCGTGTCGACGGTGATGATGAAGTTACCGACGCAGGGCTTCCCCTAAGCACTACGACAATATGACCTAGGTGTGTAACTGTGGAGGGGGGCACCGCACACGGCTAAAATATCAACTTTTCTGTCTATGGGGTGCCCCCCTCCCCTGTATATAAAGGAGGGGAGAAGGAGGAGGGCCGGCCACAAGGGGCGAGCCCAAGGGGGGAATCCTACTCCTAGTAGGAGTAGGTTTCCCCCTTTCCTAGTCCTAGTAGGAGAAGAAGGAAGGAGAGGAAGAAGAGAAGGAAAGGGGGGCGGCCCCCCTAGCCCTAGTCCAATTCGGTTTGGGCTAGAGGGCGCGCGTCACACCTTGGCATGTCTCCTCTCTTCCACCATTAGGCCCATGAGGCCCAATAACTTCCGGGGGGTCCGGGTACTCCGAAACTTAGCCGAAACGATCCGAACCATTCCGATGTATGAATGTAGCCTTCCAATATATGAATTTTTATGTCTCGACCATTTCGAGACTTTTCTTCATGTCCGTGATCTTATCCGGGACTCCGAACAACCTTCGGTACATTAAATCACATAACTCATAATACATATCGTCATCGAACGTTAAGCGTTCGGACCCTACGAGTTCGAGAACTGTGTAGACATGACCGAGACACATCTCCGGTCAATAACCAATAGCGGAACCTGGATGCTCATATTGGTTCCTACATATTCTAGGAAGATCTTTATCGGTCAAACAGCATAACAACATGAAGGAAATATGCCCTAGAGGCAATAATAAAGTTATTATTTATATTTCCTTATATCATGATAAATGATAAATGTTTATTATTCATGGTATAATTGTATTAACCGGAAACTTAGTACATGTGTGAATACATAGACAAACAGAGTGTCACTAGTTTTGCCTCTACTTGACTAGCTCGTTGAATCAATGATGGTTATGTTTCCTAACCATAGACATGAGTTGTCATTTGATTAACGGGATCACATCATTAGAGAATGATGTGATTGACTTGACCCATCCGTTAGCTTAACACGATGATCATTTAGTTTGTTGCTATTGCTTTCTCCATAACTATACATGTTCCTATGACTATGAGATCATGCAACTCCCGAATACCGGAGGAACACTTTGTGTGCTACCAAACGTCACAACATAACTGGGTGATTATAAAGGTGCTCTACAGGTGTCTCCGATGGTGTTTGTTGAGTTGGCATGGATCAAGATTAGGATTTGTCACTCCGATTGTCGGAGAGGTATCTCTGGGCCCTCTCGGTAATGTACATCACAATAAGCCTTGCAAGTAATGTAGCTAATGAGTTAGTTACGGGATGTAGCATTACAGAACGAGTAAAGAGACTTGTCGGTAACGAGATTGAACTAGGTATTGAGATACCGACGATCGAATCTCGGGCAAGTAACATACCGATGACAAAGGGAACAACGTATGTTGTGTTGGGGAACGTAGCAATTTTAAAAAAATTCCTACGCAATAATAAAGGCACGTATTGTATTGTTGGTACTAAGAATAAAACAACGGGGTTCAGTCATATTGATTGGTCTTACTTAGTCTCGATTATGTCATCTTGCTTAATGTGTTACTTTATTTTTCATCAACTTATTACTTTGAGATGCATCCTGGATAGCGGTCTTGGGGTGGAGTAATAGTAGTAAATGCAATTGGATTAACGGTCTGCTTGTCACGGACGTAATGCCTATATATTAATTATGCATGGATGATCATCATAACTATGTGCAATTCTATCAATTACCCAGCAGTAATTTATCTACCCACCAATGTTATGCTTATGAGAGAGATGCCTCTAGTGAACCAATGGCCCCGGGTCCATTCTCAATTATTACTAATAATCCTACAATTACCTTTCTATTTTATTTTGTTTACTTTTTATTTTATTGTTTTTACTTCCACTGCCAGATTTAATTTTGCAGCTGGCACGAACAAGGGGAGTGACGATCTCCTTGCCTTTTTTGGGTGCAAGCATTTGCTTTGTGTGTGTGCAAATACCGTTTACTTTGTTCATGTGTTGCTTTCTTCTGATTTGATAACCTTGGTTCTTAACCGAGAGAAATAGTATTTCTGCTACTATACTGCTTCACTCTTTTTTTTCGGGGAAACTCAACAACTCTATATCACGAGTAGCACCGGTTCTAGCATCGCCTTATTCAGATTTTCTACCAGGACCCCCCACCAATATCGTACGCATAACCTATATTCAACAATTCAGATTGCAATATTAGAGTTTTTGCCAGGTTTTTAATGGTTTGTAGGAATTTGAACCTCGACGTTTAGTTTAACCGTGTCTATGATATGAAATCAATAATCACCAGAGATCGGTTTAGCTATTGACAAGGCGTATTGTGGAGTAAAATATAGCCGGACCATCAAGGTCAACATTCATCAAATCGATAGTTCTCCCCTTCTCATCTTTCGATCGGGCCTCCGTTGCATCAGATTGCATGCA